CTGAGAGCCACAGTGAGGTGTCACCACACGCCTGTTAGGAATGTCATTATCAATAAAACCCAAAGGTAATAAGAGTTGGTGAGGATGTGGAGAAGTTGGAACTCTAGCACACGGCTGGTAGAAATGCAGAATGGTGTAGCCATGTGGAAGATAGCATGGAGGTTCCCAAAAAATTAAATAGAGATACAGCATATACCCAGCAATCTCACTTCTACAAACTTTCTTTTAGATCCTTTTTTTTTTTTTTTAATTTATTTGTAGGAGAGAGAGAGAGAGAGACAGCGTGAGCACGGGAGGGTCAGAGAGAGAGGGAGATACAGACTCTGAAATAGGCTCCAGGCTCTGAGCTGGCAGTCAGCACAGAGCCCGACGCGGGGCTCGAACCCACGAACCGCGAGATCATGACCTAAGTGAAAGTCGGACGCCCAACCGACTAAGCCACCCAGGTGCCCCCCTCCCTTTTTTTTTAAGAGAGAGAGAGAAGCAGGGGAGGGCAGAGAGAGAGGCAGAGGATCTGAAATCTGAAGCAGGCTCCAGGCTCTGAGCTGTCAGTGCAGAGCCCCATGTGGGGCTTGAACTCACGAACCGCAAGATCATGGCCTGAGCTGAAGTCAGATGTTAAACTGACTGGGCCACCCAGGCGCCCCCCACTTCTACAAATTTATCCAAGAGTTGAAATCACGATCTCAAAAAGATATCTGCACGCCGAAGTTCACTGCATTATTCACAATGGCCAAGATAGGCAACTCAAATGTCCAGTGACGGATGAATGTGTAAAGAAAATACACTATACAGGGCGCCTGGGGGGCTCAGTCGGTTAAGCGTCTGACTTCGGCTCAGGTCATGATCTCACGGTTCGTGGGTTCGAGCCCCACATCGGGCTCTGTGCTGACAGCTCAGAGCCTGGAGCTGCTTCGGATTCTGTGTCTCCCTCTCTCTCTGCCCCCCCCCTGTTCATGCTGTCTCTCTCTCTCTCTCTCAGAAATAAATAGAAAATTTAAAAAAAAAAAAAAAGAAAGAAAGAAAATACACTGTAATCCCACGCTGGTTTATTCAGCCTCAACAAAGAAGGAAATCCTGTCATATGGATTCTGCTTACAGGAGGTGCCCCAGTCGTACACCTAGAAGCAGACGGCAGAATGGTGGCTTCCAGGGGTTGGCGGAGGGGAGGGGAGGGTGCTATTCAGCGGGGATAACGTTTCAGTTACGCAGGATGATGACGTTCCAGAGATGTGTACAGGTTGCCTCTACTTACCAATGCCATATTGTGCACTTAAAAATCTTGTCAAGAGGGTGGATCTCATGTTAAATGCTCTTACTGCCAAAAACAAACCAAAAAAGCTTGCAAAAAAACCCTTAAAAACCCACAAGAAGGCAGAAGTGTACTCATTGAGAATAGCTCTTGTCGCTGCACTGTGAACAGTGGCGACCTTGAAGGGCACAGCACATTCTGGGCCAGCTGTGGCTGAGAATGTGGCCCTGCACGCCGACGGGCAGAGGGACGCTGGCCAAGGGCTGATCAATGCCCGCAATGCCCCCCTATACACCTTGTCACAGCCCTGTGAGGTGCAGACTCTTGTTCAACAAATACTTAAAAAAAATTTTTTCCCCAATGTTTATTTTTGAGACACAGAAAGTGAGCAGGGGGAGGGGCAGAGAGAGGGAGACACAGAATCCGAAGCAGCTCCAGGCTCTGAGCTGTCAGCACAGAGCCCAACGCGGGGCTTGAACTCACCAACTGTGAGATCATGGCCTGAGCCGAAGTTGGATGCTTAACTGGCTGATCCCACCCACCCAGGCGCCCCCCACAAATACTTTTTTAATTGAAGCACCATCAACCGACAATGCTATCTTCGTTTCAGGTGCACATATAGTGACCCAGCAGTTCTACACGGGACTCAGTGTTCCCCACGGTAGTACCGGGGGCAGCGAGCACCTGAGGCTGGGGTCACTACCTGCTCCATTTCGCAGATGAGCTTGGAGTTGGGGGAGCTGTTAAGTGAAATCTTTTCTAGCCCGCTCTCCATTGTATTCTAGTAAAAGTGAATTGCACAGGCCTCTTTTTTTTTTTTTTAATGTTTTATTTATTTCTAGGAGAGAGAGAGAGAGACAGTGTGAGCAGGGGAGGGTCAGAGAGAGAGGGAGTCACAGACTGAAACAGGCTCCAGGCTCTGAGCTGTCAGCACAGAGCCCGACGCGGGGCTCGAACCCACAAACCGTGAGATCATGACCTAAGCGAAAGTCAGACGCTTAACCGACTAAGCCACCCAGGCGGCCTGAGACGATACATTTCTGTTGAAGCAGCCCCCACCGTTTGCGAGGACAGTCCTACGGAGCTACTACAGCTGCCTTGACAGTGATGTAGCAATTCCTAGGTCTCCTTGTATCAGTCGGGTTTGTTACATACAGAATTGCTAGGCACTTCTTTCTCCCTTCCCCCATGTGCGCAACGGAAAAAGGAAAAACCCTCATATAGCTTGAGTCTGTTTCGTCTAAACAGACAGCCCAGGGGTGCCTGGGTGGCTCAGTCGGTTGAGTGCCTGACTCTTGATTTCGGCTCAGGTCGTGATCGCACGGTCGTGGGAACTGAGCCCCGGATGGAATCCCTCTGCTTGAGATTCTCTCTGCCCGCCCCCCGTGGCGCATGCTCTCTCTCTCTCTCAAAACAGACAGTAAGGTGACAGCCCCGATCTGATTCCAAGCCAGTGGCCTCCCAATTCACCACACGCACGCACGCAGGGCACTAAGCCTAACTACCCGTTGATTCTTTTTCTGTGGTCAGCCTTTGCTTGCCGCTCTTTTCACTACTAATTTCTAAGTATGCTTTTAAAAATTAATACCTTACTTGTTTTAAGTGTTGCAATTTTTTTCTCTCCCAGTGTCATTTATCTTTTCTTTCGTGTTTTAAATGATGGGGAGCCTGGGTGGCTAAGTCAGTTGAGCGTCTGAGCGACTCAGGTCATGATCTCGGAGTTGAGGAGTTCGAGTCCCACGTCGGGCTCTGTGCTGACAGCTCCGAGCCTGGGGCCTGCTTCCGATCCTGTGTCTCCCTCTCTCTCTGTCCCTCCCCTGCTCATGCTCTGTCTCTGTCTCAAAACTAAACATTAAAAAAAAGTTTAAAAAAAATGGCACTGTGCTTGAAGTTCATGTGTTGTTGGGGAAGGCGTTCTTCATCCTAAGATCACAAAAACTCTCCATTCCCCCCGCCCATATTTTTAGTTTTGTGTTTTGCTTAAGAATCAGACTTCACTGGGGCGCCTGGGTGGCTAAGTCGCTTAAGCGTCCGACTTTTGCTTACGTCATGATCTCGCGGTTCATGGGTTCGAGCCCCGTGTCGGGCTCTGTGCTGACTGCCAGCTCAGAGCCTGGAGCCTATTTCAGAGTCTGTATCTCCCTCTTTCTCTGACCCTCCCCTGTTCACGCTCGCTCTCTCTCTCCTAGAAATAAATAAAAATAGTTAAAAAAAAAATCAGACTTCACTTTCCCCTGATGGGTAGCTACCTGATCTAGCACCATTTACTGAATAATACAACTCCCTGCGCCTGAGGGATGCCACTTTTACCACAAATTCTTTTTTTTGCATGTTAAATTTTTTTTCAAAGTTCATTTATTTTTGAGAGAGAGTAAGAATCTGAAGCAGGTTCGGTGCTGTCAGTGGAAAGCCCTACACAGGGCTCGAACCCACGAATCGTGAGATCACACCCTGAACCACAGTCAGACTCTCAACAGACTGAGCCACTAGGTGCCCCAATCACAAATTCTTGAAGACACAGAGGTCTGTTTCTGGCCTGGACTCATATTCTGACCTCATGCTGCAGTCTTCAGCCACGGGCCACAGAAATGCACGTCCACAGATTCTGTGCGGCGGTGTGGTGCCCCTTCCCCCTCCCCAGGAAGACAGCGAAGCTGTGGCTCACCTCACCTCTCACCCCCACGAGCTGACCATGGGGCTCCCGGCTTGCCGGTGACTAGGAGGCAGTTGGTCAGCTTGGGGGAGGGATGGTAACATTAGAAAGCTGGGCCTCCCAGATGCGCGCCCCGCCCCCCCCCCCCCCGCCAGGCTGAGTGACAAAGGGGCGATGGAGAGTGAGGTCCTGGCCAAGGACAGGGCAAGATCCTGGCCCCCTCCCACCGAACAAGCTGGAAAGTGGGATCACCTCCTTACCGGGGACCCACCTGAGTGATGTCTAATCGGCAAAGGAAATGGGGGAGGCCTCCGCTCCCACATGGGCAGCGGGATCTGCCGGGAGCGAGAACCCACACCTGGGCGTTTAGAGACCAGCCCTTCACACACGGTCTCCCCCTCCCTGCTCTCACCAGCACTTGGGGAGGCAGGCCGTGTCTCTCCCCTGCAGGCGGGGGTCGGAGCCCCCCCTTAGGGAGGAATCCGGTGCTTGGGGCAAGCAGAGTGGGCTTCGGGCAGAAGGCTCCAGAACCCACAGGAAGGGAGCCCCGGACAGGAACGACGTCAGGCCCCTCTCCTTCCCTGTGCCCAGCTCTGCAGAATCACCTGCCCCACGACCGACCCTTGCTGAACACCCCCGATGGGCCTGGGAACACGGAACGCAGATCCAGGGGGCCCTCGTTCTCTCTGGCCAGGTCGGTTGTCCTTACTCTGAACCGTGACCCGGGCTGGCCCCTGCTCTACTCTCCTCTGGGCGGGGCCGTGACCTCCGGCTGACGTCTGCACTTTGCTCGGGTCCCTGGTTGCTTCCCTGCCCACTGGTCACTTCCTGGAATGCACAGACCTGTTCCAGAAACTCACGCGTTTCTATTCTGGAGGCACTGACAACTGGCAGATTCAGACCCAAGTCCCAGCCGTGCCTTCATCCTGACCCACTTTTATTTTTTTAATGTTTTTAAAAATTTTTTAATTTGTTTATTTTTTCTTTCTGAGAGAGAGAGAAAGACAGGGTGAGCAGGGGAGGGTCGGAGAGAAGCAGGCTCCAGGCTCTGAGCTGTTAGCACAGAGCCCGATGCAGGGCTCGAACCCACGAACCGCGAGATCATGACCTGAGCCGAAGTCGGGAGCTTAACCGACTGAGCCCCCCAGGTGCCCCCTGACCCACTTTTAAAAGGTTTCAGGCAGGTCACAGCTCCGCGTGCGTGCCCTGTGACAGCAGGGGTGGCGCATCGGTTCTTCCGGAAGCAGGAAGCAGCTCAGACGCTGAGGTGGCCCCTCTCCTCCTCCTCACTGCTTGTCCTTCATCCGCATCTCTTCCTCTGAGGCCCAGCGTTTTCGGATGTTGCCTGAGCGGGGCTTGGCAGCAGGCATAGGTCCTGGATACACGGAGGGCCCTACCCCCAGCTCGACACGCTGGAGACCCCATGGGTGCGCGTTCCGCGGCCAAACGTACTCTTCTCCTGGCGGCAGTTGGTGGAACCGTGTCCCCCAGAAGGACATGTCCAAGGCCAAATCCCCGATCCCCGTGAATCCGACCTCACTTGGTCTTTGCAAAGAATTACGGCGAGGAAGTCGAGATGGGATCGCCCCTGACTGGGGAGGGCCGCGCATCTGGTATCAATGGCGTCCTTTTAAGAGACAGAAAAGGAGACCGCAGAGAGACAGAGGGGAGAAGGCCCTGCGGAGAGGAGGCAGGGAACGCGCAGGACGGCCAGCAGCCACCAGGGAGCGGAGGCAGGCACCGAACGGATTCTCTCCGAGCCTCCAGAAGGAACAAGCCCTGCAGCCACCTTGATCTTGAACTTCTGGCCTCCAGAGCTGCGCGAGGGCATATTCCCGTCAAGCCGCCAAGTCCGCGGTCATGCGTTACGGACCCAACCCGCTTTTCCCCTTGGAGCAAGGACCGCCGCGGGCCGTAGAGCGCAGCCTTCAGGCTCCTTTCCCTGGGGCATCCGGCGACAGTTCTGAGCCGGCCGCACGGCACCCAGCAGGCGCCCGGTCACCAGCAGCAGAGGCCCAGGGCGCCCTGCGAGGTGCTGGGCTCGGCGGCTTCCGGGGGCGCGGGGTCGGCATCCTCCTCCACGTCGGGTCTGCCTGGCCCCCCCTCGGCCCTCTCCTCCTGCCGGATGCAGAGGCTGCGCTCCAGCCGCTCCTCGGCCGCCTCCAGCTCCTCCTCGGTCTGCAAGGCGGCCACAGCTTCCCGGGGCAAGTGTGACGAGAACAGGCCGACTTTGGCCTTGCAGCCAAACATGGCCTCGAACGGGCTCTGCTGCAAGGCATCGTCCACCAGCTGATTCCTCGCCAGCTGCACGAATCGCAGGCCTTCGGCCCAGCGGCGGGAGCCGTTACTCCGCATCCAGGCGCGAATCATGTTCGTGACGTCCTGGCTCGCTCGCTCCAGGGAGCGCCGGCCGTGGCCAGGGAGCTGCTGGCCACACGCGAGCCTCAGGTCTGGCCACACTCCGTTGAGCTCGCTGACAACCTGGCTCGTGAACTCCGCGCCACTGTCGGACTCCAGCACGCCGGGCGTGCCGAGAATCGTGAAGATATCCAGCAGGACACGGGCCACCTCCCGGGCCTGTTTGGCCCTTAGCGGCCGCAAGATGATAAACTTGGTCAAGCGGTCCTGGTAATACAGGATAAACTTGAACTCTCCATCGGCGTATGCCTGCATGTCAAGTACTTCAACTTGGCACCGGGAGTCGACGTCCTTAAGAGGCACGGGCTTGGGCCCCAGCCCTCTCTTGGGCACCGGGTTCTTCTGGTGGCACTGTTTACAGAGTGTCAGATACAAGACAATGACTTCTTTGGTGACATTCCCGTATCTTCCCTGCAGCTCCTTGAGCATGCGGGTCCGCCCACCGTGCCCAATATTGAGATGTGTGTCGTGAAGAATGTCAAACAGCTCTTCCTTGTGCACGTAATACCGTATTCGAGCGCGTTCCCCGTGAGTCGCCTCTATTAGCTTCTCTGTGCCTTGCACGGAGATCACGTCATATTTTGCGGCGCGTCGGTAGTCACGTGATGACTTCTTCCCCTTCTCCTTGGCTTCTTTGACCTCCTTTATTGTTTGAAAGTACTTTTCTTTGGAGAATACCTTGCTGTTGTAACTTTTGCTCTCTACTAACTTTGTCACGCTTGTCAGAAACTTTTCCCTCATGTTACTTATGTCCACTTCCATTTCGCTTGTGCTGGGAACAGCGGGGGTGTCACTTCCAGCTTTCTGGGGCATCACGGAGAGCGGGAAGAAGGATCCTAGGAAAGCGGGAAAGAAAGAAAGGTCACTTCACTGACAGTTCATCTGGAAGACTTTCCCTCCCAAGTTCCGCATTCTTCCGTCTGATGTCTGAAGACTACTACGTAGAGGAAGGAGAACACTGCAGGGGCGCCCGGGAGGCTCAGATGGTTGAGCGTCCGACTTCAGCTCAGGTCATGATCTCACGGTTTGTGGGTTCGAGCCCCATGTCGGGCTCTGTGCTGACAGCTCAGAGCCTGGAGCCTGTTTCAGATTCTGTGTCTCCCTCTCTCTCTGATCCTCCCCTGCTCATGCGGTCTCTCTCTCTCTCTCTCAAAAATAAACAAAACATTTAAAAAAAATAAATAAATAAAAAAGAAAGGTAATACAGTAAGAGTACAAAGCACTAACAGAATAAAGCAACTAAAAAGCCAAGCAACGGGAGCTTGGCTGGGAGGCTCAGTCATTTAAGTGTCCGACTCTTGACTTCGGCTCAGGCCATGATCTCACAGAAGAGGGATGGAGCCCCATGTTGGGCTCTGCGCTGAGCATGGAGCCGGCCTGAGATTCTCTCTCCTTTTCTCAAAATTAAAAAAAAAAAAAAAATTAAAAAGCCAACTAAGACCATCCAAAAGCAGACCATGTCAAAAGAATTTTACATCAGGAAGACGTATATGCGAACATGTAGTAATTTTAGACTTTATGCAAACAGAATAAATGAAATTATTAGCTCGTACAGGGAAAGCTGATTAGCTGGTCTTCATTAATTGAACAGGAGACAGGATAACTGGAAGTGCTTAAGCACAGTAGACTAATACCTTCCTTTGGTAATGCTTTTTTTGTTTAAAACAATTTTTTTAATGTTTATTTTTGAGAGAGAGAGAGCGTGAGCAGGGGGAGGGGCAGAGAGCGAGGGAGACACAGAACTGGAAGCAGGCTCCAGGCTCTGAGCTGTCGGCACAGAGCCCTACGCGGGGCTCGAACCCATGAATCGTGAGATCATGACCTGACCCGAAGCTGGACATTTAACCCACTGAGCCACTCAGGCGCCCCTCCCTCTTTTAAAATAATATAAATGGAAGGACGTTGCTAGAAAGTGCCACCTGCTACCAGCAAACTTTGAACTTGAAGTTCGCAGCAGGGAGGGCTCTTTAGCCTTCCCACGATCAACATAATCAATTTCCTGTGGCCCAAGAGTCTGTCCTCACTTTAGGACAATCGAGGAGAAAGTGGCAGGAAATTTTACAGTGACAGTTTCCCCTGCTGACCGTACACAGGATTAGCGACTGGAGACTCCGAGTCCTTACCCGGAGGGACCACATTCTCGTAACCATCCAGCATTGTGTCCCTGCACTCTTCAGCGGTCCATCCCAGAGGCGTCCAGACACCTCTAATCTTCGGCCATATCCTCCAAAGGTCGCCACCTCTTGAAACGACGCCAGCCGCAGCCACAGGGACCGTCCCTGGCGGCCGCAGTGGGACTGGGGAAGAGACAGCGGAGGGGACCCGGGATGAAGGCCAGCGTAAGTGGACTTGGGGTGTGAGTCATGTGAATCCCGTACGGGAGATAACAGAAATAAGGAGAAGGTCTCCTATCCGACCACTTGAGTCCAGCTTCGTGGGTGAGGAAGAAAAGTCCCGCCCTCCGGGGAGGTCTGTAGGCTGGGGCTGTCTGGACATTGCCTGGCCTGAGACCCACATGTTTCCGGAACGAAGCAGAGTCCAAGTGAGCCTGTGTGCCCTCAAGGTTGGGAGACACTTTCCGGACAGGCTTGATGGCTGTGACCTGAGGCAGCAGGGCGTTTCCAGAAACAGAAGTATTACACGTATACAGAGAGATTTGTTAGGAGAGTTATCACCGAAAAGAGATACCCCAGAGCCCACACTCCACCAGGTGGGAGAATTCCTCAGGGACAGAACCTGATACTCAGGTGTCTAAACCCAGATTCCTTAGAGCAGCTCCAGACTGCAGGATGGGGACGCGGCCAGGGGAAGAGTTCATATGATGGTAGCAGGAATCCCAACGGTCCGAGAAAAACGAGATCCCGAGGATCCCAGCCATCAAATGCAGAGCTGACGGCTAGGGGCAGCATCCTGAAAAGCCAAGAAAGATGAAAAGGTTTCAGAGCTCTGAGCAAGAGTCTTAGCTGAGCTGAGGTCCTGAAGGTTCTCTGCTAAAAAGGCTTCAAACTCCGTTGCTCAGCATCACTGGTCGACCATGGAACATTCCTGATTCTAAGACCTTACGGACTATAAAACCACCGACTTACTGATGACTTTCTTTTGAGTGGAAAACCAGAGAACCTATACTAACGAACACACCCAGGTTAAACTATGCGGAAGACGCACATTTTAGTAGTGAAGGAATAGAAATGTTTGCAAATGGTGTTTAAGTCTGAGCTCACGATCCTCAGTGTACACTGACGTGTTAAAGGCTCTGAGAAGTTCCGCAGTCAAACCAAGTTTGTTTCACCTAACAGTCACATTAGTCACTTTGTTTCTGAAGGCATATCTGTTATCATCTCACAGCCCTCATGGTCCTTAGAAGAGACCTGAAAACCCCACGATATTCAACAGGATCCAGTAAAGCACCTTCTAGACTCCTCATTGAAACCAGCATCTCTCAGAAATGGAGCGGCTGCACTGGCGGCTATACGCGGCCCTCCAGGGGATGGCAAAGGAAGGAAGAGCCTCATCTGCATCTCATAAAAGAACGAAGACAGGCTGGAAAAAATTTATAATCAACTGGTGCAAAATCTCAGCCTTTAATATGAGATACAGTCCTTACACTATACCAGGAAATTCTGAGGCACAGCCCCCCGACCCCATTTGGCTAGCACACCTACTTTGGTTAGTCTACCCAGTGTACTTTGTTTTTTAAGAAAATCAGAACGATTTACCTAAACGTGGAGATTGGGGAATTTCAGAAGCATCCTAACTGACCGATGTCCTTGGCAAATGGGAAGATGTGGACACACTGGGAACTCTGCTGCTTGGCCACAACAGGCTGGAGGGGGAGAGCAGCGCCCGTTAGACAGTCTGCACGGTCCTGCTTCTCAGGGTCCCTCGGCCCCCTGCCGGCTTGTCCGGCTTACCTGCCCAGCCCTGCGCCGTCTGGGTGTTCAAACACCCGCTGGACGGCAGCACGAAAGAGCCTGTGTTGCGCTTCCCGGCGCCCTCTGTGTCGGTGGGGGGTACGGGGAAAAAAAAATGACCTTTGGTTAGAGGAAACCGGAAACACGCACCTGTGGGTTTTCGCTTTGGCGCCCCGGACCCGGACGGTCCTTTCACGGATCCCCCGAATCCCACCCAGCCCAAATCGGCCTCCTTCCCGCCGCGGTCCGATCCGCAGCCCCAGCTGGGGGCCCCGCCCCCTCCCCCGCGGGCCACTCCGTGGAGCACTTCGCTTCGGGGTCGTAGGGGCCCGGCGGGTGGGAGCTGCGCCAGCCACCTCGCGACTGCCGCTCGGAGGGCCCCGGAATACGGAGCCCAGACGGAAGGTACTCAGAGCGCGCTGGCAAGCACTTGCCGCTCCGGTGCCGCGGCGACGTCGCGCAGAGCGAGGGTCGAGGGCGGCGGCCTGGGAGGTCAGGTTCGGGGGCTGCCGCTTACTGTGGGCCCGGCCTCGGCGGAGTGACTGCGGCCTCAGGCCAGAAACGGCGGAGGTTCCGGCGTCCGGCTGGAGACTCGGCGGTAACGCCGGCAGGGCGCTGAGCCCAGTGTCCCCGCACCTCCCGGGACCTGGCTCGGGCAGCAGCTCCCCCTGCGCGGCCCCCCTCCCCGCACTCCCGCGGGCTTGCCCCGCCCACCCCGCGAGGCCAGACGGAGGACCGGGGGCCCGGGCGCCGAGGGGACGCGCTGGCGGCCGCGGCGTCGGGGCCCGCCCACCCCGCGTGCAGCCGCGGCCTCGCCTCCCGCCCGCGCGTGCCCAGTGGGTCCCTGGGGGGGGGGGGAGGTGCGGGCGTTCGCACCGGAAGCGGCTCCGCGCCGGCCGGAAGCCCCGCCCCTGACGCCGCGGGCCGGCCGGCACCCTTTCCACGCTCGGGTCCTACCCGGCCCCTCGTTGGGAGGTCGCGAGAACTAGGGATATGCGAGGGCGGCATGCCCGTGACCTTGGCAGCGCAAGCCACGGAGCCCGGGCCGCCGCGGCAAGGCGGTTATTCGCCCACGTTGTTGCACAGCCTGCAGCTCGCGAAGCCGCATTCATCGTTCCGCGTCCAGAAACTTCCATGTCCAGTGAGCGAGGGCAGAGGCACGTGTCTACACTGGCCGCCTATTTATGGAGTCCCGAGAACCCGCGTCGCAGACGGACAGCGCTTACTGAAAACCGCAACCTAAAGATAGGTTTTGTTGGGGCGCCTGAATGGCTCAGTCGGTTGGTTAAGTGTCCGACCGGCTCAGGTCACGGATCTCACGGTTCGTGGGTTCAAGCCCTGCATCGGTCTCTGTGCTGACAGCTCAGAGCCTGGAGCCTTTTTCAAATTCTGTGTCTCCCTCTCTCCCTGACCCTCCCCTGCCCAGTCTCTCTCTCAGAAATAAACCATTAAAAAAATAGGCTACTACTATATAGACGCTCACCTAGCGTAACTGGAGTGAGACGGTTTCAAGAGGCAGGCTCCCAGGTAGCTGCCTACCTAGGCCTCTTAATGAGCCATGATGTCCCCCCCAGTACTGCCTGCTGTAAACATGAAGAGGGGCGCTGGGCTGGCTCAGTGCATGCAGAGTGACTCTTGATCTCAGGGCTGAGTTCCAGCCACACAGCGGGCATGGAGTCAACTGGGGTGGGTGGGGGGTAATCACTACCTTATCAGTCCTGACTTTAGAATATTCTTAAATGCCAATCGTTAAAACAACTGATGCTCCAATGGAAAAACCCAGACAGTAAATCAAGCCACAAGAGAGGGGCAGCTGGCCTTCAGATGGCAAATGTCACCTAACTTCCCTGAAAACAGGTCCCCCGTGAAGTGGGTAGTGTCTCCAAGCACCACATCGTTTTATCATTTTAACAGTTTTTTATTTCACGTCGTACTTAAGATTACTTTATTCCTGCATCTTCTCAAGTGTTTCTTCCTTGTATTTGCCCTTTTCCTTTCCTACTTGGCGAGATTTGGCTTTGCGTTCGAGGATCTTTTTGCGGTCTTTGTCCAGTTTTAGTCTGGTGATAACCACCTGCAGAAAAATAAAAACACTTCTAAGCCTTGAACAGTTACCGGTTTCACAAGCTCACCAAGCCATCCGCGCTTGTTTCTATCATAACCTCTGAATGCTCAAGGCAGAGATGCAGCCGCCCCCAGGCTTCAGCCCACAAAGCCGCAGCACAGACCTCGTTTCAACAGATCTAACTGTTAAACCTCCAGATTATGATAAAGTTTAGTTTCATGAAGGAAGGGGAGGGAAAAGGGGGTAAAGGGCACTGAAGCAGCTCTGCAAGCACAGCGTCTGACCGAAAAAAATCTCCGCTGTCACAGAGCTTGTATTTTAGTATTGGCGGGGGGGGGGGGGGGTTAGAAAACAAACTAAGTGAATCTATGTCAGGCTCTGACTCAGGCTCTGACCTAGAGAAAGGCAGAGCAACACGGGGAGGCTAAGGAATGCTGGCGAACCGGGACCGCGTCACACGTGACCAAACAAGGCCCTACTAGTAAGGCCAAGTTCAGACACTTGAAACCTTGAACGCGTTATGGTGAGAGAAATCAGAGACCTGTATACTGTGTGGCTCCCTTACATGTGGAATTGTAACACCAGAGAATGAAATGGTGGTCGCCAAGGAACGGATGAGAGACAGGACCGATGTTAAGGGTACAAACTTATAGTGACCTGTACACAATACTCTATCAAAATCACCAACCTGCTAAGAAACCAAGACTCAGTTACTCCAATTACTAATGAGGATAGCTACGTACCATGACCGAGGTACATTATTGCTACAATGGCAATCACATCACCGTTTATAAATCTATTGAACTAACATCACACACACCTTGAATTTACACATTATGTCAAATATACTGAACTCTGCCCCCCAGGCACCCAATAGATTCCAATAAAAAACAAAAAAGACAGGGGCGCCTGGGTGGCTTAGTCGGTTAAGCGTCTGACTTTCGCTTAGGTCACGATCTCGCGGTTTGTGGGTTCGAGCCCCGCTTCGGGCTCTGTGCTGACTGCCAGCTCGGAGCCTGGAGCCTGTTTCACAGTCTGTGTCTCCCTCTCTCTCTGACCCTCCCCTGTTCACGCTGTCTCTCTCTCTCCTAGAAATAAATTAAAAAAAACAAAACAAAAAATATATTTAAAAAAACAAAACAAAAAGACAAACACCTGAAAAAAAGGGGGGTTAAATTGAAGAGTGATTTTGGTAAAATCACAGCAAGTGCAGAAATCCAAAGGCAGAAGAACCTGAAAGGTTTATATATGCATCTTTCTCAATCCTAAGCGTGTCTCAGAATCAGCTGGAGGCTTGTCACACAGACCCCGGCTGCCGGCTGGCTCAGCGCACCCGACCGGAACCTGAACTCTGAGGCGACCAGGTGATGCCAACAGCACACAGGCTGGGAGCAGCTCAGTGGTGGGAGTGCGGCGGCCGGCCGACTAGATGGGGAAGAGTGGCCGCTACAAGCAGCTGGTGAGATCGAGTAAGGTCTTAAAGGCCACTCTGGGGCACCTGGGTGGCTGTCAGTTAAGCACTTGACGCCTGAGTTAGGCTCAGGTCATGATCTCAGTTTAGGAGTTCCAGCCCCACACTGGGTTCTGCCCGGACGGTGTGGAGCCTGCGCAGGATTCTCTCCCTCAAAATAAATATGCCGTTAGATTTGTGTGAAGTCCCCAGACTGAACTAAAGAGATGATCACTGAGCCCCAACAAAGGAAGGGGTATGTCCTGGGCTGTGCTACCTGGAAAAGACCAGGAATTTCTCACGGGATTCGTGACCCGGACAATCGGTGATCCACCAGTGATCAAACGCAGGACTGGCGAAGGTCGGGAAACGGTAAAGTCCTTGCTCTCAGGAGATACGTTACATATTCAAGTAACTCGAGGACATGTCAGGACACTTGTAATCCACTGGGGGTAAGGAAGAGGGGTAAAGAGAATGCAGGGAAATAGTCATAGTGAATTTGAGGTGAAAGATATGCAGGAACTTCACATCAGTCTTTCAACTTTCCTGTAATTTGAAAATAGATTAAAAAAACTTTTTTTTATGTTTATTTGAGAGCGAGCAAGAGCGAACAAGGGAGGAACAAAGAGGAGACACAGAATCCAAAGCAAGCTCCAGGCTCTGAGCTGTCAGCACAGACACGGACAAGGGGCTGGAACCCACGAACCATAAGACAGATCATGACCTGAGCTGAAGTCGGACGCTTAAGCCTCCCAGGCGCCCCTGAAAAACAGATTTATGAAAGCAACATAAAATCTGTTAAAAAACAAAACAAAACCACAAAACCCAAAACTGGGAAGCCTGGGCGGCTCAGTCGGTTATGCATTGGACTCTTGATTTCAGGTCAGGTCAGATGTCACGATTTGTGAGTTGGAGCCCCACAATGGGCTCTGCACGGACAACCTGGAGCCTGCTTGGGATTCTCCGTCTCTCCCTCTCCCCTCCTCACTGTCTCTCTCAAAATAAACAAACATTAAAAAATAAAGTAAAAATTATTCCATTTCTTAATTTTAAGTTTTGTTGTCAGGCTGATCACTTTACTGATCACTTCTGACCAAACGGTACATTACATATACACAGTGTTAAAAACAACTTCATCTCATAAAACTTTTTAGACTTGTTTCCTGGATGCCATTCAAATACGGTATCTGCTCTAAGACTGATTTCTGGAAGCTCTCAAACCAGGAGATTCTATTTCCATGGGATTGCTCTGCAAACGAGCAACTCCACCTGCCAACACTCGCTGTCGTTTCCGTCCCTCAAGCATCCTCAGAAACACGCACCTTGCTGGGGTGGATGCCCACGTGGACAGTGGTGCCGTTTGCCTTCTCTCGCTGTACCCGTTCAATGTAAATGACATATTTCTTCCTGTAAACCTGGACTACTTTGCCAATCTGCTGACCTTTGTAGTGTCCCCGCACCACCTGAATGCAAATGCACGGACAACAGAAATATTAAGAAAATTAAGTCAGGAAAGGGAAATCACGTAAATGCTCAGACCCGTTAAGACCCTTCGGTTTTGAAAGATGGAAGAGTTACCGGAAAAGTGCCAGTAATTCTCTCTGGCTTTAATTAACCAGCAAATAAACCCTGCCCCCATCTACACCTTGTGAAGGAGGATGCATCATCCATGAACTCATGGTCCTCAAGCAGTGGTGGGCTTGCTAGAAGGTTAAAAGTGAGCCCACTCGGCCTTCTGTAGCCAGGTGACGGAAGGACCTTTAGTCCATCTCAAAGGAAGCAGGAGGCCACAAGATGTAATTCACAACCTGCTCAGGTGTCCCACCCGGTGCCAGAGTTGGCAAATACATGTGGGGAAAAGACCCAATTCTTCCTCAAAGTTTACCAGCGTCCTACCTGGGAGCCCTGGCGATCCTGTTCGCCAGGAAGCAACCCAAAGCGTTTCCGAAAGACACCCTGAGCTTTCCTTCCAGATCCACGTTTCCTCGCGTGAACGTGATCTCAAACGCAAAGAAAGCCACCCCGCAAATCCAATGGCAATTCTAGCGCCAGCCCCGAAGCTGGGCACCACTTGGGCACTACCCTCATCGGAGAATACGGGGGACAGGGGAGTTGCGTTAGAGGCTGCCTGACTCTTGCAATCAACAGCTGCGGGTCCCAGCTAAGAAACGTTCTCAAAGACGTTCACTTAAACAGATGTGACGAGTTAATCACCGGGAAACGCGCAAAACCATCGGAGACGATGGTTCACTTCCAGCCCCTGTATCTGGACCCTCTGCTGCCTCATCAACGACCAACCACGCCGAGGAAAAGAGAACGACAAAGTAACGCTCTGGTCCCCCACCAGCTTTCCTCCTTCTGATGCTCGGGACAACCGCTGCTTTTTCTTGTTTGGGTTCGTGGGTCCCTCGTGCAATCCCACCCTGGGGAGTAACATGCCAGGCGCGTCCTTCTCAGGAGGCGAGCCCTCCTCATGGCAGGCGTGCGGGTACCTGCCGCGGCGACCCGAGCACAGCGCGTACCTGTACTTCGTCGTCCTTCCGGATGGGCATGGAGCGAACGTTGTACTTCTGCCGCAGCTCTTTGGAAAGAGGGGAGGACATAATCTTCCTGCGAATGTGGGAAGGGGCATTGAAGTGCCTTTTGCGGTTCTTGCTCCGGTCAGAGGTGACAAACGGATTGAACTTCATGTTGGCTGAAGAGAGTGAAAAGAGGTATAAATCCTTAAACGCTCAAAATCTCATTTAGCGTCCCAACAAGTGGCATTTCCAGCAATTCCATCTCTGAACGTCCAAAAGACCCACAAAACCTGTCATGCTTTCTATAGATTCATTCTTTGGACAAATAGTTTTAACGTTTATTCATTTTTTAAAAAATGTTTTTTATTTATTTCTAGGAAAGAGAGAGAGAGCGTGAGCAGGGAGGGTCAGAGAGAGGGAGTGACAGACTCTGAAACAGGCTCCAAGCTCTGGGCTGGCAGTCAGCACAGAGCCCGACGCGGGGCCCGAACCCACAAACCGCGAGATCATGACCTAAGCGAAAGTCGGACGCTTAACCGACTAAGCTACCCAGGCGCCCCAACGTTTATTCATTTTTGAGACAGAGCGCGAGCTGGGAAAGGGCAGAGGAAAAGGGAGACCTGGGATCCGAAGCAGGCTCCAGGCTCTGAGCTGTCAGCATAGAGCTCAAAGCGGGGCTCGAACCCACGAACCGGGAGATCATGACCTGAGCCGAAGTCGGGCGCCTAGTTAAGCTGTTGGTTCTCAGCCTCCAAGCGCCTGAAATACCGGGTAAGGAACTTAAGACAGGACTTTTATCTCTGATGAAGGCAAAATGGACCGACATCTCAATACTCAATTACAACACCACGCTTTACAAAGGCCAACGCCAACACACTACCAACTTGAACGTGAACACATTTAGCTCCGTCCTCCCCAAACCCGGGAAGTGCCGCACATCTCGGGTCCCAAAAAGCCTTCTAAGGAGCGAGGGCGGCCTGCAAGTTCCCTGGCTTTGCCAAAGGCATTTCGAGGCTCTTCTTTAAGAAACTACACTGACTAGACTTGATCCATTTGCGCAGAACCCCTCCTCGCCGGGCTCCGATTCCGAGTTCCCAAACCCCTCTCCTTCTCCCTTCCCGAGCCGGCCGCCCCTGGAGTGAGGGGAAGAGAGGCTGGGGACTATCCCAGCCCCTCTCCCTCGGTGCTACTCGCTCACCGGGAGAGCATCGGGCCCCCAGGGCCAAAAGACAACGTGCCCGCAAACCGATGGCCGCGGATTACTCGCGCTCGGCCGGGGAAACCTTACCCGCTGCAGCTCCAGCGATGGCCGCAAAAGGGAAGAGAGCTCCACGCCACTTCCGGTTCTGTAAGTTTGCGAGAGATCTCGCGAGACCGATCGTCTCTTGGCGCGAGAGAGGCGCTGGGTTTGAATGAGGAGAGGAAACTGGGAAAGAAATTGGTAAGTAGTGTCCCCCAGCGGCTAGGAGGGGACCTGCGGGGACCTGCAAAACTGCCCTTTTCGGGGCCCTGTACCTCCCCCGGGGGAGGTCTGGGTTCTGCAGCTGCGTTCTCTAGGTAGGCGCGGTCCCGGGGGCGGGGGCTGCTCAGGGTGTGACTGTCCCCGGGCGTGGTGAGAGGGAGCAGGCGCCCCATTAGCCTGGTGCACACTGGCGACCTCGGTTCCGTGGACCCCGCTGAGCCCCCACCCCGGGCCCGTGGCGCGGGCGTGGCGAGCGCGCCGGTCCTTTAACGAGCTGCGGCCGGCGCGTGCTGCCACCCCGCCCCGCGGCGTGTGCTGCCGGCGCCCTGAGGCCCGCCCGAGACCTGGCCCCGGCTGGGACCCGCGATCCGCCCCCGCCCGGCGCAAGGAGATTGAACCTGAGTTTCTAACGAGGTGATGCCAGAGGGTGCCGGTCCGACAGCGCCCTTGCAAGGAGGCCTTTGCAAGCGGAGCGCTGCCCCCCTTTCTGGATTGTACTGCGTGTGGTCTTCGGGTTCAGGGTCTGATGGAAGCAGGGCGAGGGGGTGCGCTCCCCTGCAAGCGGATTCTGGGGCAGCCTGCAGTGGGGGTGGGGGTGGGGGGCGGCTCTCGCAGGATGTCCTGCCTGCCGCGTCCCCAGTAGGGGATTGGTTTCTGTGGAATGAATAATGCATTGTCAATAAATGAATGATGCAATGTCCGCATTTCATGATAATTCCTAAGACACAGTGAGCTTGAGTGAGCTTGTGGCGTCCTAGAAACGCTCTTCCACTCCCTTGTACGTTGTTAACTCTAATCCACCAAACAGCCTTGTGATGCTGGTACACTATTATTGTTCCCATTATACAGATGGGGATATTGAGCCGCAGAGGAGTGGGAGGAACTTGTACACGTTTTGTAGAACCCATAGGTTATGGAAGGCCCCGCTAGGTGCTCCCCAGTCCCTTCCCTATATGGTCCCACTTTCTAGGACTCCATTTGGTCATCAAATTGCAAGAAACCATGACGTTGAGGGGCCAGGGTAGAATCAGTAAAGAACCTGTGTTTTTGTGATTTTTAAAAAAGTTGTGCTTTAAATGGGCTGTAAGGTAAACAGCCCCGGATTTTATTTCGAACTGAAAAATTCAGATAGAGTATCTCTACTACAATTTTCTCTTGTTTTCTCTTTTCTTTTCTCTTCTTTTCTTTTCTCTTTTCTCTCCTTTTCTCTCCTTTTCTCTCCTTTTCTCTCCTTTTCTCTCCTTTCCTTTCCTTTCCTTTCCTTTCCTTTCCTTTCCTTTCCTTTCCTTTCCTTTCCTTTCCTTTCCTTTCCTTTCCTTTCCTTTCCTTTCCTTTCCTTTCCTTTCCTTTCCTTTCCTTTCCTTTCCTTTCCTTTCGTGTAAACTCTACATCAAACCTAGAGCTCGACCTCACGACCACAGATCAAGGGGCACACGCTCTACTGGCTGTGCCATCCAGGAGCCCCTACAATTCTTTTCAACGAATGTTTATGGATCATAGTTTGCAAGCCATCCCTAAACGGGATACTGGAGCTACAGAACAAAACTGGTCAAACCTTCTGCCTGCAGAAAACTCACCGTCTTAGAGGAGAGAGAAATAGCGAAACCCACAATCAGGGGCCCCAGGGTGAGCCAGCCGCCTTTTCTGTGCTTCAGGGATAGGACAGAGCTCTGGGGTCAGGGAAGACTTCTGGGGTGAGATCACCCTTGGCTGAGTTCTGAAGGATATTAAAATTTGCACCAGAGCTGGAAGGGAGGCTTGGGGGTGTGAGGACACAGGCATGATGAGCTGTCTCTAGGAGCCAGGTCCCTGTGGTTGCAGTGAGGACGCCTTCAGAGAAAAGCCCAGGGGGCTCCGGGGCTGAGCTGAATTTGATTTGGTGCCTGAAAGTTACAGGGAGCCCTGAAGGCTCCTGCTTTCCTACTTTGCCTTCCTTTCTAGTCTTCATGGACTCACCCTCTCTCTCTCATTGTTCTTACAAGTTTCCTTAACCCCTTTTCTTTGGGTCTCGCCTAGCCTCTTCCTCTCGTCCCACAAAGCCCTTTTCTGTTTTCTCTTCCTCCCCATCCCTCACTGCTGACACCCTTCCGTCAACGGCCTCCTTACCTCCCCCCCCCCCCCCCCCAACCCATGCAGCACTGAGTCATCGAGATTAAACCTTCAAGCCACCATCTGGACAGCATAACCACTTTGTATGGTGTGAGGAATGCCAGGGTACAAATTGTGTGCACAGATGCTGGAAGCCTGCTTGAAGAGGCTGTTTATCTGCATAAATGTCTTGTTTCCACCCTGCCCAGTCCTCTGAGCACCTAGCCTGGCTCCCCCAACCCCCCTTATGTGCCTCTTACATGATTTGAAAAAGTTCCTTTAAAAGAATTTTTTTTAGTGTTTATTTATTTTTGAGAGAGAGAGAAAGTGGGGAGAGAGAGACACAGAATTGGAAGCAGGCTCCAGGCTCTGAGGCATCAGCACAGAGCCTGATGCAGGGCTTGAACCCATGGACAGTGAGATCATGACCTGAGCTGAAGTCAGACCCTTAACCAACTGAGCCCCCAGACGCCCTGCAAATGTTCCTTTTAAACTGACTCTTTTGGGTCCTTTGGAAGCTGGTCTTTGTGAAGTCCTAAGACAAACAAGCCATCCAGACTCCACATCTAAGCCCCTTGGACTAAACTTTTTTTTTCTTAGATACCAAGCCATCCCATTTATTCTTTCCTTCCTTGCTTCCTGCTTGCCTGCCTTCGCTCATGCATCCTTCAAATATTTCTCTAACTTACTCTTTACCAAATCCTATGCCAGGCACTGAGACACAAAGATAGGTTAGATTGGGCACCTGGGTGGCTCAGTCGTTAAGCATCTGACTTGGGCTCAAGTCATGATCTCACAGTTTGTGAGTTCGAGTCCCACATGGGGTGAGCTCGAGCCCTGCTTTGGGTGAGACCCAATTCTCTCTTTCTCCCTCTGCCCCTCCCTCACTTGTGAGCTCTCTCTCTCTTTCTCTCTCAAAAGAAAAAAGATCAGTAAGATCTAGCCTCCCCTCAAGGAGCACACGGGAAGGAAGAAATGGCCATGTCAACAAACGCATACTAAAGTGTGCCTGGGAAGGTGATGGGATTCTAACCAAGGCTGGGGCCAGAGAACCCTTGGACTGTTTCTGGAAAGCTAGGTGGGCATTCTCCTGGTAGACAAGGGTGGGGAAGTGTGTTCCGGGCTGAGGGAACCACCCACGCAAAGCCCAGAGGCTTTGACCAGCCACCAGTTGTCGGAACTGCTAATAGTTTGTGTTGTGAATCAGTTGCTGCGTCCATTTGCACCAGGTAAACAGAGGATGAGGGAGAGGGTGGGGATGGGCAAGGTTGTTTGGGGCCGAAAAAGAACATCTGGGCTGATGAGGAAGTCAGAGAGAGAAGCGAGGTGAGCCACAGCGCCATTGTGGGCTTCGCCGAAGGTGGAGGTCACAAAAAGGAATCTCAGGGGCGCAGAGATCCTCTGTGGGTGCCCAGGCTCCTGGCAGCCGTAACCCGAGTTTTCACTAGAAATAGATGGATCCTTAAGCTTGCTTGGTAAGGCTAGACTCTGCAAGTATATGTTAAAAGGTGGGGTTTTTTTTGCATGAGTCTTAAATTTTATTAATGCTTTTAAAACAGGATATGTGCTTTAAAAAGCATTCTTTTTAAAAGTTTATTTATTTTTTAAAAATGTTTTATTCATTTCTGAGAGAGAGAGAGAGAGAGAGAGAGAGAGACAGCATGAGCAGGGGAGGGTCAGAGAGAGAGGGAGACACAGAATCCAAAGCAGGCTCCAGGCTCTGAGCTGGCAGTCAGCACAGAGCCCGACGCGGGGCTCGAACCCACGAACTGTGTGATCATGACCTGAGCCGAAGTCGGACGCTTAACTGACTGAGCCACCCAGGTGCCCCTTAAAGTTTATTTTGAGAGAGAACACAACTGGAAGAAGGACAGAGAGAGAGAAGGAGAGAGAGAATCCCAAGCACGCCCGTCACTGTCAGTGCAGAGCCGGGTGTAGGGCTTGATCCCATGAACCATGAGATTACAACCTGAGCCAAGATCAAGAGTTGGAAGCTTAACTGACTGAGCCACCCAGGTGCCCCTAAAGAGCATTCTTATACATAAATAGACCAATGAGAGTTAAGTAGTTTATCCCTAAAACACGCGCATCATTTTTATTCAGGTGTGTATAAGGACGGGAAATAAGCTTTAAGTCTTTTTCTTTGAATTAAAGACACCTGGGGGTGCTTGGGTGGCTCAGTCAGGTAAGCGTCTGACTTTGGCTCAGGTCATGATCTCATGGCTCCTGAGTTTGAGCCCCATGTCAGGCTCTATGCTGACAGCTTGGAGCCTGGAGCCTGTTGGGGTTTCTGCGTCTCCCTTTCTCTCCGCCCCTCTCCCGCTCACACACACACACACACACACACACACACACACACTCTCTCTCTCTCTCTCTCTCTCTCTCTCTCTCAAAAATGAGTAAACATTAAAAAAAAAAGACATTTGGAAATTATTATTCAGGAATGCCAAATGTTGGCAGAAATCTGTTTTACAAGAGGAACTGCTGATGTAATTAAAAGGCATTCATGTTGATAGAGAAGACCGAGAAATACGTGTGGCCACCCAGAGGCGATCCACTGGGTCGAAAGTATAGGTCGAATAGATGAAATCAGGGGTGCCTGGGGGGCTCAGTCGGTTAAAGTGTCCAACCTTGGCTCAGGTCATGATTTCACGGTTCATGGGTCTGAGCCCTACGTCGGGCTCTGTGCTGACAGCTCAGAGCCTGGAGCCTGCTTCTGATTCTGTATCTCCCTCTCTCTCTGACCGTCCCCTGCTCACTCTGTCTCTCTCTCTCTCTCTCTCTCTCTCAGAAATAAATAAAACATTAAAAAAATTT